ATCTGCTTGAATAGGAAGTTTTAAAAAAATAACCATACAAAGAAAGTGACTTAAAAGAGGTATTTACACTCTCTGGAAATTTAAAAAGAGACAGGCCACTAGCACAGGGTTTTACAGGATAACTCATTTGGCAGCTGCCATCATCCTAGAGGTGCTCACTCAGGAGAAAGGAAGAGAGGAACTGAAATGACTGTCTGCAAGTGAAGGCACCTGGTCTGGAAATAGCATCAAGCTGGTGTTTTTCTTTCACACAGGGTGGGATTGGGGGAGATACTGGTGCTGACAGTTTGTCAGGACTTGCTACACTTACAAGAGCATGATCATATATTATGAGATATCCTAATTAACATTTTACTTCCTTTAATCTGCAGAAGGATCTAAGCCTAAATTCATTAGATTGTCTCACACATGTTTAAGTTAAGAGCTTTTCTCAACTAGGAGTGCATTTGTCTCTCTCTCAGTCCTTTCCCAGTACAGAAACACTTGGCCTCCTCAAAAAATTGTCATTGTGATCAACCAACCATCTGTTCTGGTCTAGTCACTTGTGTAAAAATCACCTTTCCAGGATGAAGAGTCCCAGCCTTCTGCTGAATACCTCAATTAAAAATATAATTAAAAAGTTACAGTCAATCTTTCTAAAAATAAACATAAAGAAATAGAGCATATACAGAGAAGAAATAAGGTGGCATTGAAGGTGCCTAGGGCTACAGATTTGCTACCATAGTTTGAGTTTCAATCATAATGAGTTCCCAGGCCATAGGGTGAACATGACATATTATCCTTCGCCCTTGGTAACTGATGATGGATGCTTTTTTCCACAGGACTGATATTAAACCTCCTCTCCATCAGCATTTACAGCCATATTTGCAATTTTGTGACATCACCAGGGAAAAATAAAATGGTACAGAGAAGAGTCTTTCAGGTTTTGTGTTCAGCTGCAAATATCAGCTAACCAGGTAACTGTGCATCTCTCTGGAGTTGATGCTCAAAACCACGCCTGAGTGATTGCCTATGAAAATACAGAAACAAAAGTCCAACATTAGTGTATTTCGGGTACTCCACAATTATTCCCCTTTTTATTGCAGGGACAAGTCAATTGCATAAGAGAGTGGCTTTATCAAACAACAGGTCAGGTGAAGGTTGGTGCAACAGCTCCATGTACCTACAGCACACTTTTGCGCAAAGCTTTTGCTCATGGTGGTGGATTTGTGGTGAATTCCTAGGGTTTCTATCCCAGTGACAGCATAAGTTGGTTCTCTGTGTGGCTTATAAAGGTGTAGTTGTCTCGAGGGGTGCAGGTGAGGGAGGAGAATGGAACCTGAGGCGTCCATTCGACATGCCACTGACCTGGGACTGGACACTGACCGGCATCAGCAATAAGGGAACTCTGTAGCTGTTCAAGTTGCCACTTCTCCCAGAAGGAGTCACTGCAAGGTAATGGTGTTGAGGAGTCCCAAGGTGGGGGTTGCGATAAAGTAGGCAACATAAAATATATAGAAAACAAAAAAAGTGGATGGGTGAGTCTGGAAATACTGTACTGTGGAAATTCAAAAGTTATGAGAAGAGAGAGAACAAACAGAAACCCAGGCCTGTAACTCCCTGCTGTGCATGGAGTGGAGGCTGCTACTGACATCTCCCAACAGGGGGGGAGAAAGCTCACCAGAACTAGAAGGGATCTCCATAGCATAGGAACCTTCTGCAAATAATGTTGTAAACCACAATTTAATATAAAGCAGGGATTATAACATGTTTCATACTCGAGCCAGATAAAATAGAGTATCATTAACAGGAATATTTTCTTGGCAGTACTGAGCAATACTAGAGCTAGTGGAAAGTATTGCAAATAACCAAACAGTAGGGCAAGCAGGAGTATAGTTTTATGTCTTAAATAACATCTTCTGTCTAAAAGCTGTACAGTAGGTGACAAATATGGATGATTATGATCCACAGAAATGAGCTCTTTATGCTCTCCTGGAAAGGCTGCTGGTGCTGACATCCTGGCAGAAGCACAAATCACCTCGAGCTATGCATTTGCTAACTGTCTTATGTCATCAAAACATCATGATCTCGTACTCTTTAACCCTAAAATAATGCTCTGCCCAGATAGAAGATTTTTGTTTTCTCTGAGTAATGAGTGCCGGGCAAGCAGAGATTAATTCTGAACGTGTTACAAATCAGGGTAGCATTTCTTTATGCAAGCATCCCTGGCTGCCCGGGTTTATTTAATAGGCCATAAGGGATTTTCTACCATTAAAAGAAGTTATGTTTTTGTAGGTTACTAGAGGTGTTTGAATGCTCCACCTTAATAGGCATGTCTGCAAGGACTTTGTTAGCATTCAGCTTCTCCTCTAAAGACCCTGGAGATGATCTCGTCAAACAATCTTAACATAGAATTTGTTTTTCCAGGGATGTTTTTGGAACTAACTCCGATAAAGTCAGGAGGGCAACCAAGGTTGTCTTGCAAAATCAGAATGAAAACACAGTGATACTCATACACAAAGGTTGTCAAAGAGTAGATAGAAATACACAAAGCAAAGCAAGAGGCTGGATTCTTCCCTTGTGTTCAAAGCTAACACCTCCAAGAACTGAGAAGTGGCACACTTTCAGCAAGTGAAAATAAAGACATCAGCAACAAACAATAAAGGTGAAACCCAGGATAAAGAAATCTCTCCTCTGCCCAGGTTCTGCCTTTCCCAGGCTATTTCTGGTGCAGCTAAAACATGTCTTCCACGGAGTTCATGAAGACATTATAGTTGCCTTTAACACCATGAATCTACTGCTACAAATCCCAAAGGCTTTGGGTTATCTGATTTATTTTCACAAAATGTGCAGAAATGGAGTTGGGTGGTTTTTACATTTTCCTACACTTTTCAGACTGTGACCTGAAAGCAGTCTGAACACAATGTAAATTTTACAACAAATGAACCTTTTAGATCAGCACCCCATGTTACATTAAAACTAACCACAGGGTGCAGGGATGCAGACTTCCACCTGACATTGAAATCATATCTGAGAGATACTCACAGAAAGTTTCCCTTGTGGGTTCCTTACAACCACCTCATGAATACTAAGGAAGTCAATAGCTAAATTAAGGAAGACTTGTGATACTTTTTATACATGAATAAATTTAATGTTTCTAATCACAAAAACCTTAAATGCCACCGGAATATGAAGGCAAATATAGCAATGGATCTCCATACAATTCATCTGAAATCATAGAAGCATTCACTCTACAAATCCTTCTGGCCTAAACTCAATTTTCTACTAATTCTGGGAATTATTGAGTGAATTCAACTGTTGCAGATTATATCCTATTTTCCCAGATATAATTTATCTCTAAAATTGTTCAAGTCAGTCTCCTGATATTAGACTACTGTCTCTGTACTCATGCTCTATATATCATCCATACATTAGCCTGTGTCTCAAGCAAGCCAAAAGAAGGTGACTGGGATAATCCCTTATTAGTGGTGTTACCATTTGTGTCTTCCTGAGACAGAACAGAAAAAGAGCTAAAAGGCAAACAATCAATTACTTATAAAAATTTATAAACTAAAAACGAATTTACCTCTTGCGTTACCTAGTGTTTGAGAGTCCAGATCATCATCAATAAACTCCTCACCCTGGATGATGTTCTGGGTGTCCTCACTATGATTAACAGGGCTTGTCATCTCCTGCTCTTTTTCATTGTGCATCTGGGCGTAGACATTTCTGCCCGGCAGTTTCCTAAATCAGACAAGGAGAAAAAATTTTGTGATGGAGTTCTTTTGTGTCACACACACCTGGCATCAGAGCAGAGCTCCAGCAGGGCAAAGTCATTCCAGAATCAAAACCATTACCAATCCAACCCTTCCTTAATTTTGTGATCATGACCTAAACTTATCAACCTCTCATTCTTGTTTACAGCTCTATGTAACCACCTTATTATGATGTTCATATCAACATAATAATTAAACATCAATTTATCATTAAGACTTAAAGACAATGAACAATGCTGAAAAAATACTGAAGGTAGAGAAAAACTATTTTAAAAATTCAAGCAACAAAAAGGCCCAACAAGCATTCATTCCTAGTCCCAGGTGTCTTCACAAACATTAATCTGTATTGTAATCATCATCACATCTCTCTGGTAAGGTGGGCTGAAAGTGTGATTGATAGCATCAAATGGCACCAGTAGTCATCAGGGTTGCAGAGAAACAATCAGGAGAAGTCCAGGAGACAGAGTGGAAAGAGAGTAGAGAGTGAAGAACCAGGAGGCCAGGACCAAGGGGTAAGGAGTAAAACAACTAGCACCATGGCTGAGACTGGGAGGCTTATGACTTAGTATTGATAAAGAGTTCTCAAGAGTTCTTAACCAGATTAATTTACACTTTGTAAGAACAAAGGGAAAAATCAGAGACTTCTAACTTTGCAACAGAATTTATGGTTTAAACATTTCTCAAGAGTCACACCCTTTGTGCTGCAGTTGTGCTCACCTGCAATCTGCCTGGGTACATGAGGACATCCTTTCCTAGGCACCAACCAGACACTTCAGATTAGGGAGCTGCAGGCTATAAACTCTGCTTCCTACAGTGCAAGAAGCAGCTTGACAGCTTGATCAGCATGACAGCAGATCATGGCTGTCAAAGTCTGTGCTTAAATACAGATTATTGCAATGGGCAGACAATGAGAAGAAAAGAGAAAACAGGGTTTAACTGCTGAGATTAAGATGTGGTTTCTGCTGAGCTCATTCAGACAGTGAGAAAACAGAAAAAGTGACACTAATTTTTAGGCTTCTCTATAAAAACAACCATCAGCTGCTCCATATTCTGGCAGTTGAAAAGTTTGAAAGCTGCATAAATACACAGATTGCTCTGTTTTCTCTAGGCTTTTGAAAATGACCTGTCTTTAGATGTAATTTCAAAAGAAGGTGCCTTTAGCAGATGGTACCATCTTAGTTTGAAATAAAAGTTACTGCAGCAAACTATTCTGAACAGCACCTTCCACTGCATCACAGTAATTAGAATAAATGGAAATTGCTAAACAATGAAAGATGACTTAAGACAATTTCCTCCCTTTAAATTGAACAATCCAAAAGATGAATTGCATCCCATATACCTACACACACACCCCCCCCCATTATATATAGATATATAAATTAGGTATTTTATCCCATTATTTATAAGCAATACAAAGAAAGGAATCTGACTGTTCTTGCTCTTTTCTGTATCTCAGCGAAGATGGGTAAATAAAGCACAGGACTAGCCAAATGCAAAGGACAAAGTCAGAAAGATGGTCTGATGACACAATGCTCTGCTATTATGATAACTTCAACAGGTCCGACACAAACATACACATAAACCCAAGTCCTGCATCATTCTCCTATCACGGATAAAAAAAGCCATGTTTAAAGAGGGAAGGACATTCCTCATTACCAAAACAAATACATTAGGTAATTAATTTTGATTTTTTTTCTCCAGGGCCAGTAACTCCTGACTGTTTTTAATGTGTCTGGTAATGAAACTAGTCGTGTGGAAAACAATATTCTCTCAATCAGACCTGCATCAAACCTGTCAAATTGCTCACTTTGAGTCCACCAGCAAATGCCTAAGGGAGACAAATCCCAGAAGAATGTCTTTGTAACACATCTGCAGAATTAGCACATATGTTTCTGCAATAATTAGGGGACCTTCTCAAAACTATTTCTGACAGATTTTAGAAGCATCAATGGTATTATCAAAACAATTTTGACGTAATAAAAATGTTAAACGTCTCAAACCCATATGGCACATCAGACCTTTGCAGCTAAGTAAAGGGAGAACAGCTGCTATTCTGACTACTGTCTGCCCAGGCTGAAGGACCTGTATGGAACCAGGTCAACAAGGTGCATCCTCTGGTGTAAATCCTGAGGCTTCAGCTCATGTCTCCTGTAAGACTTACTAGTTAGAGATAATCACGATCACAACACCTACTATTAAAAATATGGAAGTTTCTTCATTCTTCCTGAATGAAGGTATCTCTCAAGTTCACAAATAACCATTAAATGTATTGTTGTTGAGAGCACTTTATGGGTTAGGAATAACTGGAGAAAAGGTGTGAGTTGTTATTTCTCACTCACCTAACCCTGCCCAGTCGTGCTAAGTACCGATCCATCATGGAAGACTGAGGTACTCAGTGCTTCCATGCTTTCCTTTGCTCGTCAACCTGACAGAGAAAGCACCTGTAACACTGAGTGTGTGGATTGGAGGAAGGAGAATATTACAGGTCTTGAGAAGACACATATTGTAGGCATTAGACCTTTTATACACTACAGACATCTCTATGTTTTTCATGTTGGTTTGTTTTTACAAGGAAGAGACTCAACCAGACCGAATAAAATGATAGTCCAATCCTTTTCAAGAGGCACTTTTAACACATGTGCCGGATGTTCTGTTTACAAGGGACAACCACACTGAGAGATGAAACAGGATGTGGATACTGAATCCTTGCTAAAGATGGCCCTGATAGTGGCAATTTTCCAGTTGCTCCTCACTGCTCTAACAGATAGGAAGGAAGCTGCTACCCCTAACTATACAGAGAAAAACTCTAGTGTACCCTGATGTGCTTTGCTCTTCTTCAAGAAGCAGTTGAGTCCAATGTAAGTGTTTGAAGTAGGCAGAGCTGAAATGCTTGGGTGTACATAAAAGACAACTGTGAAAACATGACAAGGCACGAAATTTGACCCAAGAGATTTATATCATCAGTATGGAAATTGAAAGCACATTTAGAAGAACAGACAAAAAGATTACACAATTCCTTCTTTTGGGTGTTTACTCTTCATCTGCAAAATGCATGTGCTTCACATCCATCACTGGAGACAATTACCTCTGCTAGCAGCACCCCATGGTTTACATTTTTAGTTGCCTTTGTTTTCCCTGTAGCATTTTATTTCAACCATGAAGAAGAAGAAATATTCATGCCTGCTTTGAGAACCATAAAAATATGAGGCTAGAGACATAATTCTGCACCGTACTACTAAAGGACATCAGAGCACATTGTTTTCACCAAGCTTTTCAGGTCCTACACCTTTTAGAAGCTATTCCAGAAAGTTTTTTTTTCTTTCTATATTCATAAATTCTAATCAGTTCATACACGAAACTGCACTTCAAAATGTTCATCAAGAAGGAACAGCAGGAGGGAATGAGATATTGATTCTCACTCATTTAAGCTCTAGTTTACTTGGCTTTCAATTCCTTCCTTGTGGAGCAAATATTCATTGGCCTTTATACAACTTCTTTCATTTTCCAGAAGCTTGATTAAAATTCTGTTTAGTATAAAAACTAAGAACATATTCAAACAGCAGAGGATATGGAATGATGTAGAATTCTCTTGGAACTTTAAGAAAACTAACAACAATAATAGTCCATTAAATAGAATACTTTATTGTGGTGTTGACTTCATCATGTTTAGATTTATGTTCAGATGACTGACTTCTTTGTGCTTTAAGACACTCCTGATATACTTGCCTCTTTCAGAAATCTTTTCAGCATGCTATTACTTTGATTTCTGAGGAAGTTTTTACGAAATACTATGGATCATTAAATTAGTGCCTGTTTTTTTTATCACTAAAAGGCACAGACTGGGACTAAGCTTGCTCTCATGGAACATAAAAGTAGTATAAGCAAGGTGGGGAGAAAAGATAGCTTTTCTTCAGAGACTGAAAATGAGATAGTAAGTCAATGAGGCAGAAAGATAACACAGTTCTGCTCCAGATTGTGGAAATGACCCAGGAGGGGGTTCATTTACCAAAAGTGGCACTTGATAGTAGTGGGGGAAAAAGGGATACACACAAAATAGTATAAATCTGGGCAAAGAGGATTCACTGTGATTTGTGAAAACAATGTATGCAGCTTTAAGTACACTGCAAGTAGTTTGCATACAAATTAAAAGACAAAGATTTTCATACTCTTTCAGATAATCGAATTACAACTAACCAGGTAAAATACATAAGCAGAAAAGCCAACTATTTGCTCTGGTTTGGCTACTCTAATATCCTGCTGTTATACAGAAATAAAAAATAGGAAAAGATGATTTCAGATCTTCTGCTACTAATATGGTTATTACATGGCAGCTTTGATGTGGCTAAAATATAATTTTCCTTTCCTCCACTTTGCCTTGTGCAGACAGTGCTATTTCCCTTCTCTATTCTGTTGCCCAGGACCCCACACTATAAAGCTTTTTCTGAGATAAAGAAGAAATCTTCTCTGGAAGGCAATTTGAAACCCACAAAAAAATACAAATATTGTTTCAAAGGGAATAGAAGAAACATGTTCTTACTGAACCAAATCTAGTAAAGATGGTATGATATATAAAAAATATATGCAGATCCCAAATATGCATTAAAAAATAGACCTCATTTCTCAAGAATATTTTCCAGCTGCCTCATGTTTTTTGTGGTCAAAAGAAGCAGCTGCAGTCCATTTTACCTGGATGTTTAAACAACTGAAGCAAACTAGTGAGTACTACAAGACATTGTTTGCTTGAGGCATCTGATCTATGCTGTCCATGCTCAGAAAGTAAGAGCAAGGAAAAGGTGTGTTCCTCATGGCCTGCCCACCATCTGCATTTGCTGGTGGCACTGCTTCTTGCTGCACAATCATGATCATGCTTACCAGCTAGGTATGACCTCTTGCTCCTTGCTGCCATGCTCAGAATTTTCCCCCCAAACTATCTAAAGCAATAGCTCAAGTATATCATTTGCTGGAAATTATCCTAATTAGCTTTTAAAACCATTGCAGTTATAATTTAAAATTTGCTTTTCATTTATGGAATAAAAATAGCCCTAATCTGATATACTTTTCTTTTTTTTCCCTTTTCCCCCCCTGAAGCAACTAACCATGCTTAGGATTGCCAGGAGTCACTTCACAAGCTCTGGGGACTCCAGCACCAGTTTTTCAAGTACATGTGGCAAGAAGTGGTTGGATACACAAAGGAGCCATCAGATAAAGAAGGGAGGTTGGGGGAGGTTTGGGAATGAGGAGATGAAATGATAAATGCTTGCAATTTTGCAGCATATAAGAACAGAGGGCAGCAGTTTTCCTAGTCAGTGCTAAAGTATTTGGGATTAGGGCATATCAGAACAGATGTGACCTACAGTCACCTAATCAGTAGCTAGACAGCCATGACAGCTCTTGTTATCCAGTAGATCCTAAAATGTTAGATTTGATTACATTAGAGTAGAGGGAAATTATACAATTTACATCTTTCTGGGAAAGATTCCTTGAGGAGCAGTGAAATGGCATTTAATGGGAATTCCTTGAGGAGCAGTGAAATGGCATTGGTTTTTACTATGCATATCACTAATCAGCCAAAATCCCACTACCTCTACATGAATCTGCCTCTGTTTTTCCCCTGCCCCCCTACCTAATTAGATGAAATACTCTCTTCGTTTTCTCCATATGAGGCATCTGACAAAGAATCCTATTCAGGATTGTTATTTTTGGATTACTGCTCTCCCCCAAACTAATTTTGTGAGATCTACTTCTTGCGAGAGCCACCAATCTTTAGCACTGAATATTGTAGCTTTCAAAAAAATGAGAAATCAAACAGGAGCAGCAAATGTCATCCTTGCTTATAAAAGATTAATAAAGAAGAAGTATTGGATTAGTCTCTGATGTTTTGTCAATACCATCTTTCATCTTCCAATTCAGTCTGACAAAAATTAGTGTAAATTAAGACCCACGTTCTTATGACATGAGCTCCAGAAATAATCTGGGGTGGTGAGAATGCCTGGGGACAAGAAACCTCAGCACTCAGAAACCTTGGAGCAGTTTGGGCAGGTTTCTCCATTTTCTATCAAAGTAGGTCTACACAGAAGCCCACTATTTTCTCTTTCATTTTCATCACAAGTCTTGAAGTCTCTCATTGCAAATAGATGACATGTTCTCACGTATGAAGCTGCCTAACCCCCCTGCCAATCCAGTCACCATCTTATTTGCAAGACAGATTTTTCTTCTTGCATCTTTCCAGGAATCAAACTTAACAGTCCTTTGGGACAGCAAAGAGAGAAAAAGAGAGAGCAGTCCATGGCATGTCCATGCATTCTCAGGCATACCACCCGCTCTGCCTGTGGTCCAGTGCCAACTGCAAGACCTGTAGACCCAATCAGTGTAGTGATAAAACTAGAATTAATAAAAATTTCTCTGACGTGGGTTAAAAAAGGAATTTTAACCCGTTTGTGAAGGGAGTATCTGACTATTAACCTACATGAATGAAATGAAAGCATCACAGAATGTCTTCCATCTCCTCCTTAATTTTGTGAATCATACATTAGAATTACAGACAGTATTAACATTTCAAAACTTTACACATGTCTGTAATTTCTAGGTGGAATAAATCCTATTTTTATTTGCCTGGGTTATCTGAGTTACCATAGGGCCCAGTAAGTGTTTCTTGTCTGAAATTATCACCTAAAATTGAACATTTTTTGTTGCCTATGGCATTCTTTTAGCAAATTAATTTTTAAAACATAGGCATATAATATTGACAAGCTGCCTTCGTGCATTACAACTTTCAACTTTTATATCCATAAAGGACACTCAAGTTTCATAGCCTCAGTCCCTGTGGACCAGTTTGTGAGCTTACATACTCAATGTGCTGAGTTTAAAGGGACTGTACTCCCAACTAAGTACTCCATGGGGATCCAGAAATTAACCATCCATCTTCATAAACGCAGGAAAGACTTTTAAAAAAGGATTAAAGATTCAGGTGCTCAAAAAAAAAAAGCGATTTTTCAAACATAGCACTGATTGGGTGCTCAATATTCTTTGAAGATGATTGCAAATGAAGGCTGTAACAAAAAAAAAAATCTTTGAAAAGCTTATCAGGAATATTAAAAATAATTCTGTCAAATATTTCTGAAACAGGTAAGATATAGACTAGAATTGAATACTACTGCATGGTCATTCATCAATGCCAACAGCCATTTTCAAGCTACTGACAAACATTTGAATATAACTCACAATTCTTCTCAATCACACTTAGATTACTGCCCCAAAATGTAAATGCAATTATTTTCACAACTTATATACAGAATTGTATGAGACATTAAAGCTCATAGTTTGCAAATTGTACTACAGTTTTCTTCTTAATAAAGCTCTATTTATAAAGCAATGGTTCATTGGGGCATTTTAGAAAGAACTTAAGGAAGATTATTTTTTTATTCCTTTCTTGAATATTTTATACTTCTTCTACCATGCAGTAATTCTGTCTGTTATTTAATTGCTCTCATTTGAAAGCTAATAAAAGATACAAATCACATAGCTTTTGAAAGATATCACAAGGAAGTTTTATGATCCCAAACTACAAACAGCAAATCCTCCATGTATTGAAATAATATAATTACATCACATCAACCATTTTTATGCCTTTCCTTGCTTCAGGCATCTAAAATAGCAAAATGGATTTTTATTCCATTGTAGACAGTCTGATACAGTATTCTGTGCTTTGCACTTTTGAGCAATCACCCACTACGAACTCTAAGAAATGTAGGTGCTGCTGTGAGAAAGTTAAGATTCTTGAAAAAAAGGGGCTTTTCTCTATTGACATAAAAATTATTTAACTAAACAAACTCATACTTCAACGCTAGCTAGACTTACTGCCATCACAAACTTAATTCTGGACCTACTTCTAGAAACTCAAATTTATTTCAAAAATCAATCTTTCAAAAATGAGGCAAATCAATATCAATCCTCGCTGAGTAAGGACAACAGGATTTGATGATGATGATGACAATGAAGGCTAGTTTCCAGTATGCTCAAACCCAAGAGCATCTGAAGGCCCCAGAGATAAAGAAAGGTTAGCCAATGATAACACGTCGCATGAACAAGAACAAATTATTTAAATTGCACAGCACCCCCGCAGCTCTGATTAAAATCAATTGCAGACTAAAGATATATTGGACTGTCTAAGGCTGGCATGGCTCAATTTTGAGAATATGCCTCACATAAAGGCCACTTCCAGAAATATTTCTTCCCTCCACACACTCTAGAGTCAAATTAACACTAATCTCTTTCTGTCAGTCATTCTCCATGGCATTGCCTCAGCAATTAAAATTTAATGTGTGCAAAAAGAAACCCCAGAGCATTACGCGCTTTGATAAAACTACATTTTTAAGCAAATCAGCATTGCAGATGCACTCCTTGTCCTGATAGCTTTAGTTTATTCATAACTGTTAGGAGTAATGAGGTGGGAATTAATCAGGAATAATATTTTAGTTCAGTTCTGATTCTTGATGATATTATTTAGACAAACTGAAGAAACTCTCCATAGTTCCCATATTGTCAATACTTATTTTGGAACATAGCAAGTGAAACAAGCATCAGTGCAGTACCTTGAGGTCTGAAAAGTTCAGAAAAATGTGGTTTTCAAAGTGATGTACTTTTTGCAATTCTTAGAGAAATCTCTTTTTCAAATCACAAACTCTGCTTTGCTAGTCTGTGGGTAAATCTAATGCTTAAAATGTGTGTTGATTAAGGTTTACTTGCCTTTTGAACTTGTAGAGGATGAAAGCCCCAACTGCAACTAGACAAATAACAAAGAGAACCACAATAGCCCAGTAGCCACTGCCTCCTCCAGTCCTCTGAGAGTCTGAAATACAAAATAAAAGAACAGTATAGCATGTCCTCTTTCACATCAGTCGCATTATTGAGCCTTCTTTTATATTTAATTGTCAAGTCAAAAACATTTGTTGTTATTTGTGCAACCTCTTCTTTTCCCTCCATCTGTGGCTTCTTCAAAAAGACAAAACCAGAGAATTAATTGGTGACTTGTGACTGAAGGACAGAGGACCAATTAAAAAAAAAAACAACCAACAACAAACCCCAAGACCCTGGAGATTTAATTATTCACATACTCAGTGGTTGGGTTTTTTTCTGGGAATCTAAAGTTTTCATAGTAAATGATCACACATCCCAAGTACATGTGCCTTACAAAAATAGGGCTGTATTAATCTCACAGATGGAGAAACTAAGGCTCTGAACATCAAATTAACTCATCAAGGTCATACATCAGTAAAGGCTGGAATAAACATGGGCTTCTTTCAATCCCAGCCTTTTGTGGTGGCTAACGAATGTCAGCCCTTTAAACCAGATGAGGTACCACAACTAGACTGTAGCACAGTTCTACAGATAAAAGAGTTTTGTCTTCTACAGAGAGCTGACAGATAAAATATCACCAGCATTTACATAAATTGACTGTGGTCAGCTAAAGCTGTTCTCCCACAACACACTGAAATATGAAAGAAGGATATATTATGGGAGATGATACCCAAAAATTACAGGATATTCTAACAAAAGATTCAAGTCAAAGCTGAACTTTCCGGTTCAAACATCATTTTTACATCTCTCTGTTAAAAATACACACACTTATGCACACATACTCTCTTCAACCAGTGTCCATCAACGCAGTGAATCCAGAGAGGCAGGAAATGGACGCATAAAAATCCCCTGTATCCACTTGTTTTAAACAGAGAAAAACATAATTTATCTCAGGACAGGATTAGCAATGTGGAGACCCTACAGCAACCCTCACATTAGTTGATTGGAAGATCAGAGACACATGGCAGAGAAGCAAGCCTGTCTCTGACCCACGTAGTTATAGCAGCAGTTAATGGTTGAGATAAGGGTAAAGAGGCTCTGTTTTCTCGGCAGCCAGTGCAACGAAAATACCTTTAGATCACCAGAGGGGGTTTTTTGAAGCCTGGTTGCCTCTTCCTTCAGGGCACTATTTTGTGCAATAGAGGTATTTACTTAATGTTGTGGTTACACAGGAAAGGCAAGAAGGTTGTGATACGAATCATGAGCTATGATAAAATGGAAATACCTAAGAAATATTTATATGGTTGTGATTCTTATTAACTACCAAACGAAAATGTATACATATATATGTGTGTACACATACATGTATATATATTAACATATATATTTTAACATATATATATATTTATGTGGTTTTTTATATGTAACAACTACCAAGTTAGTATATGCATATGTGTTATATGTTCACATATACATTGACACAAAGATTTTCTCCTTAACTTATCAGAACTCAAACTGGCATCCAAAATTGGTCTGTTGGGAGCTTTGTTTACATATTTACCTGAACCGGAGTCAGCTAAAGTCACCAAGACCCAGTATCCTCCCCTCAGAAAGAAACTGATGTTGTGTGCATTCAGGGCCTGCTTTATTGCTGCTATTCTCTGAAAATACAACGGAGAGAATGTCAGATGTCTTGTGCTCTGTTCCACTTTGAGACACTCAGTGCTCTACAACTGAAAACCTCTGGCTCATTAAATGGTGAGAAACTCAGAAAGCATTTGTCAATGAGCTGAAATCTTAAAGAAATTCCATATTTAAAAACCATGCAAAACTACACAAGAAGTAAGAGCTGAAAATGTCAAAATTTTATAGCCAATTCTTTCTTTCTGATTACCAAGGTCTTTACGTTTATCCAGGAGGTGACAGACAGCAAGTCATTTGCACGCACTATTGAGTTTACCTGGGTCATAACTCACACAATGAATAAACTATATTAAAACCACTCCAATCCTCTAAACTATCAGAAGAAAACCTATGATGTCACTTTGTATTTTTTTCTATGAAAAGTAACTGCTATTTAATAATGAACGGCACGCCATAATTTACCTCAACTCCTTACCTATAATAGGATGAATTCCATTTATATCTAATTTTTAAGAATATTCTGTAGAAATATATACATTCATCCATGTGGAAAAAAATCAGTATTCCTCCCATTTTCCTCCAGTGGATAGAGCATAGTAAAATATGGTCTCTCCTATTTTTATGGAGCAGAACCATTAAATACACCATCATATCCTAACCCCAGATGACAAATTGTCTGAATTATCCCTTCTACTTGCTTGTATCTTCAACATGGGCAATTTTCTAAAAGATCAAATCTAGTTTTATACTCTATGCCTTATAATTTGGGGTATGACTTCCCAGAGGATGCCGAATTAGAAATATGCTTTATATCCATGAAACCTTCACAAGTAACTCCTTTTATGATATTATCAATTATGATGCTCATCTTTGACAAGCCTTTGCAGTATAATAGATAGAAATCCCTGTAGTCTCTCTTCTATTATGGACAGAGACTATACAATAGTTCAAATATCCTCATTCTTATTGAGGAATTTCTAACTTCTGAAGCCATTTCACTGACTTAGTTTCATTTCTTTTTTTTGTATGGAAATGACTCAGCATAAGGGTGATGTGAGTATGGCTTCAGTTATTTTACAAGACAATTACACCAGATAGCTCCTGAGTATTTATCTTGTTGCCCAAAGTCTGAAAAGAGAATGGATATGAGAACTACACTGTTTAGCAGGCGTCAGAATGATGCTGATACTAATGAAATAGAATTGCTTCGTTATCAATCCAGGTTCATTCATGTGTTCATGGCGTACAGAGCAAGAGGGACCACTACTTTAGGTTAATCTGACTTACAGCCAATAAATGAAATTACTGAGCTCCTTAAATTTGGATACCTTATATTTTCCTGGCAGGTGCTTGAGGAACCCACATATGCTTTGGTTTTGGCCTAAGTGACTAATACTTGTTCGTTATTTCTCTCCCCACTGCTGAGCTCCCACCCAAGTCTATGTGAACTGCAGCTACCCACGCCAAAAATTTGAATTTCATGTGAGTCCAGCCAAAGGCTCTGGCTTACTTATTGCACTGTTAGACTGATGGGTTTTTTTGGTATTCGTGGTGGATTTTTTTCTGCTTTGCAGTATTTACTGAGCACGGTGCTGCCATCTCTCCAATTTTTTAAAAAACAAATACAGAGTTTGGAGCTCCTCTCTAGACCTTCTAAGTTAGGGTTCCTATACCAGCATTTGAATTTTCCATCTTCTTTTTCTATATCCTTTCTAATGATATTATTTGTATATGGGAGCACAACATCTCCTGCATTATAAGAATGCAAAACTAATGGCACTGTTCAAACTCTTACCCACTTACTTACACATCTGCAGTTCTGACTTTCCTTTTTTGCCAGAGTAACTCACTGGGAATTTTCGTGTAGTAGTTTGTCTGGATAGAGTCCCAACTCTTCCTCAGAGCCACTGCCTTTCAGATTATAGTTTAATTGCACTTTAATTGACTCTTTCCACTGGACTCATCCCACCTGACATTAGACATGTAATAGATGTACATAAATTAAGCAACTACGTCTTCTCTGGAGTCAATGATTAGAATGGAATACTTTTGAAACTGCTGTCTTCTTGAAAGCATGTTAAATCAGTCAACTCCATGCATAAATTTTAAACAAAAGGGTTTCTGTCAGATTGGAAACAAATTTCAGAATTTTTCCAAAGGGTTCCTACTACTACACTGACAGCTTACTTATGATCTTTGTTATTGATGGCTACTTTTATCAATTAATGACTCCTATTCTAGATAGCATCAAATCCCAACACTCCACATAAAACACCAGTAAAAACTCCAGCAAGTAGATTTTCTCTGCCTGACCAAGAAATTTCTGCCTCTAACAATCTTCCTGAAATAATATAATATTCCCAAATCTAAAAGGTTTTCAGCTGAGAACAAATAGGCTCTCTTTCAGGGAAGACATTCCATAACTAAGTTAAGGATTTCAGGGACACCTCCTTCAAATGGGCAAAAAGCATTCTGCACTGATGAGTCCTCCCAGTAGTATCACAACACGCCCCAGCAGCACGACAAAGCACATCCTTCCAGTGACACATAATAAAGACCTTCAAGATTCTCTTCTAGTAACAGAAGACAACGTAAGGAATCTTTACATAAGTGACAACAGAAGTATTTTCCTGTTGACTTAACCAGTTACTGCTTCTAAGTTTATTTACATAGGGTGTATTCCAGGATATTTCTCAAGTCACAATAGATTCTGATACAACACATTTTATCAAAATTTGTGCCATTCAAGTCTAACTTAACAAATTTATATGCACATAACAATAGCTAAAGTAGTGCTCATTAGCAATAATATAAAAATAGAAATGTAGGCAGCTGGCACTAGAAGGCTGGCTCTACAGCATTGTACTCTATAAAACAATCTGTGTTGAAAGGTGATATTTGTGCACGTGACTTTTTATCCTTGGATAGCATAAGACTGTCTTTCTTGTTCCTGCTCCAGCCCCAGCCATCCTGGGTCTGACCCCGTTCATCCTAACAATGTCAGAAATGCACATCTATTCTCCAGATTATACAAATACTTTCCCCTTTCAGTGCTCCTCTAGTTTCAGAAAACCTTTGTAAGATCCTACTGGAGGACTACTTATTACAAAACCATACCCTGTTAAACTACTGTAATATTCCTATAGCCCCACTGAACAGAGGCTTTTCCAAATAATTTGCAACATGTGGTTGTTGTTCTTTATGCTTTAGGACAACTCACTTTAAGTTTCATATACAAAGATAAGGAAGAACCTTGAGACGGCATTGATTATAATTGATTATATCCTTTAAGCTGCCTTGAAGCAAAGAACCAATATAGAAGTTGAGATTTAAAGGTAACTAATATGCATAACACTCTGCACTGAAATAAAATGTTTGCACAATTGAAGAATCTATCACCATTAGTTTCCTGAAATTACTAAAGACATGCATTCCACATGTGTTCAAAATAAAGATTTTCTTTTAGAAGCTGCACTGTGCTTCTTCAAGAAATAGAAAGTTGCAAATAATTTTGAAGTGGTAATATTCCCCTGGCTGAAAGCATTAGTTCATGAGTGGCTCTCAACAAAAGAAAAAATCTGTTAAAATTAACTATTTTCTGCAACATAATCAGAAATTCAGACTCCCAGGTATTCTCAGTGTGATTACAGATGAGAACAGTCAGGGTTTGGAACTATCGAGAAAGTAGAAAACTTTGTGCACTCTCACGGTAGTCTGTGCATCAACATAGGCATCTGTTCAAGTACTTGGACAACTTCAACATACTCCTTTGGACCTTTCAAAATGCATTTCATCAACTCCAAACATAATCTACTGTGTTTGTGTTAATATAAAGAGCTTCACTTTACCTACTTCTCCAGCTCTTTGGATGCCGTGACCTTGTCTTAAAAAGCTGTAAAATGTCCTTCAAAATTAATGATACCTTACACCAATTCTTTGTAACCAGCAGGACTTGAGATGCAAGACACAGGCACAGAGCTGGGATCTTTTCCTTCTCTATCACAGCAAAAGGACAAATATAATAGATTATAGGCGCCACAGAGCCTTCTGGTTTTCAGCTGGCACAAGGTCTTTTATTATGAAAAAAACATCGTTTAGAAAGAAATAGGGAGAAAATAATGTCTGATTTTCACTCCAGTGTTCACTATATTTGTTTATTTGCCAATTGAAAAGGACATTTGTTCACAAATGCAGAAAATACTTGCTCGATGCTCTTTACATTATGGGTCAATTACTAAGGTTCTGGTTTTGTTTCGACCTGAAATCTAATTTGCTTCTGAAGACAGTGCAGAGATGGTTCGTCCCCTCTTTAGAAGTATCAGTGTTCTAAACACACTCTTTGCTTTACTGGCCTTTCACAGCATGACATGCATCACTGCTGTTTCTGTTTAAAAAACAGATCAATATTAAATATTCTTGAGAAATATGCTAATACCAGTAAGCACTAGATCACGCTGGTCTGTACAAACACAGCAGACACAGCTTCATGGGAGCTTCTACATGTATCTTGTCAGGTGGGAGTGAGATCTTCACATAGGTAGGGAACACCCCTCAATTTTGTATAAAGACAATGAGAGCACAGACATTGTTTGCAAACCACAATTACGACTGTTCTTAAACAGACATGCATTGCTCTGTTTACCTTATCACTAGTTAAACTTCTCTTCTTTTTTGGTTGGTTTGCTGGTAGTAGCACATGCAAGTCAGCAGCTGTGGGCAGACCAGGTTTCACAACTGTCAGGAGTGTTTCTTCAGGTATATTGGTCTCCTGTGAAGACAACAAAGGCATATGGCAAATTACAGGACAGCACACTTTGTGTTTTATATAAAACACATAAGTAACTCCACATGTGGCTTTTAGATTTGGTGTTCAGGTCCTTAATATTTAGAGGGGATTCTACTAGAAGCTAAAGCATGAACAAAGTGAAGCATGAATGTACTGAAATGTGAGCTTCTCTTTGAAGATTTGAAGAGCTAAGTGTTGTTTTCATATTAAAGTAATTCAGTGGCATCAAGAAAAGAAGCAAAATGGAGAGGTATGCAGGTTTTATCACAACTCTGCAATGGCTTAGCATTTCTAGGGTAAGATAAAACAAAAATCCTAAGTTATTTAGGATCCTTTGTGGGCCAGTCAGGCACAGTGTAGGCTTAGAAGGACATATTCATTACAGTTAACTTTAGCTTAGAAAGGTTACTTTTCCATCTGTGTTTTATGGGCAGAGAGAAGTCTTCAAATGTGAGACTAGGTGCACTTAGGTTCAGTTCCTGAAAGGATAATGAATACCTTCATTTTCCCACTGAAATGCATCGCTTTTCAAAATATTTTGTGCAAATTTGGCTTTTAGTCATAAATTCCTCCATGTGTTGTACAGTACAGCCACACAATTTTAATGATGACACCCTGTGCACTTGCTGTAGACTTCCTCAGATTCTGAAATTCCATTAAATTTTCCATATACTATCACAAATGTTTTAGTAGTTCTTAAATGCAAGGGCTATTTTATAAGGGAGTAAAATATTTTTTTGACTGACAATCGTTATGGAATCAGTTTAAGTTGCTAAAAGTGGAAATTCCTTTAATTTGATATGAGCCTATAAAAAAAGGCAGGAAGCTGTATAAAGCCAAAAATTTAGAAACTGATTTGCACTACTGCAAATCCAGGAAAAATAAAGTGATGTAAAATGCACATATTTTATAAACAATATCAACCTGTACCTCAATGCTACTGCTTTCACAAAAGCCAGTGTGTGCACCCTCAGTTGCTGGCAGGGTGTGCACCTGAAGAGCACAGCTCTTGAGCTCAGTTTTCATGAGGTGCTCTTTACTTATCTCACAGTACCACTGCAGAGCTTTGTATCTGATTTCGCCTGAAGGATTCAGCTATTCCCAATCCACACTTCTTTTGTGAACATGATCTAAAAAAGCAGCTGTACATACTGTGTGCCTATATATTACATGTCATTTTCATAGTTACACAACTAGCACAATAAATTCTTCCCCTGTGCTTTGTTTTTACACAAAGACAATGTCTTTTACATTACACAGCATCACAGCATCCTTTGCTTAGCTTCTAAATCTATCACATTTAAGCTACTCTTCTTGTTTTGGAGTCAGCAGTATTTGCCAATATGTCTATTCCTAATCCCAGAGAGCAATATTTAGCATTAATTGCCAATTAGGCTGTGTTACAGCTAAACTGCCTATGTTACAATATTATTGTCTAGAGCCTGCACGTAAAAGTGACACTAGGCTCAAACTTGCTTGAAATGTAGCTCATGAGGTTCACTTTATTATTTTGCTCTGCCTCCTTTTTTTCTAAATTAGAAGGTATTAACTTAACCTTCAAGCTTTACGACCACTGAGGGAACATTTTACGAGCAATCTGAAAGAGCACCTTTGCAAGAAGTCGAGTTACTACCCGCCCTATGTCTTCCCTCCACTCTGGTATGTCGGGGTTGTACATGTCCAGGTGTTTAGTAAACTTCAAAGGAAGAACGTGAAAATGATCTAGAAAAACAAAAAGAAACATTTTGTACAAATAATAAACCAGGTTGCAAAAAGGGTTTGGGAGAACTAAAAGCTGAAAATCTGTATTTAGCATTTTTTGCTGCGCAGCACTGTAGTATCTAGGACCCCCACTGCTCTCTGTTGTCAGGCACTCAATTTCTCTCTGTATTTTCATCAACATCATCAAATTTGTGCCTAAAGATTAAAAAGCAGTAAAAGAAAGAAATAAACAAAGGAGATTTGCATACATGCTCTGCGGTCATAATGTTCCCATTAATTTTTCCCTTAGGTCACTAAGTCACACAGAAGTGGTTGGTTTCTTTTATTTGAAATGAGAGTGCACCAATGGATTGTATCCTTACCAAATCATAAATATGTGGGGTTTTGCCCATTACATGTTCCTTTTTATTTTTTCCTCTTTGAAAAAATAAAACCAAGGTACACCCACAACATTTCTCTGGGTATTGTCGAAACTATCCAATGTACTAGAAATGGGTTGATCCTCAGAAAACAGTCTCTTAAAACCTTCCCTTTTTCCCTACATGCTCCTTGGATGAACACCGGGGGAACTTTATGCAAAGAAGAAATAGAGATACTCTGGAAAGAACAAGTCAAACTTGCCTCCCCTAACACTTTCAACAGAATTATATTTTAATGTGGCTGTCTTTTCCAAAAATTTCTTTATTTCCCTCATGGCCAGTACTTTTGTGCTCCTGATATCAGGACTGGTCAACAGTAAGAGCAAAAGGAGTGCTGGAAAGTCAAAGTCATTGATGTAGGTAACCCAAGAGGGTTATACTTCTAAAGATTACTAAAAAAGCTGATGCACTTATATATAAGTGGTAACATAAATGTTAAATCCATTTATCTTAGAAAAGGAGAAGGTTCATAAAAGCTCCATTTAGCATAAGCGTGGTTTTAAATGTTATTTTAAATTAATAAGCATACTAAAAGCCAAAATAACAGCCTTCTTCAGACAATAGAGATGTATAATGTTGTGTATTGCATGATATCAGAAGGTTTCTAGCTCTGCATTAAGAAGAAGCTTTTGTACTTATCACAATTCCCACATGTGACAGCACAAATACAAATGTAAATAATTTGCCAGCACTACACTTTCCACAGTATATTATGCCTTGTCACCACATTATAAGACACAAAAAAACACCAGGGCACAGTGTGGAACAAGAGCTGAAGGGTTATTCAATAATTACAGCAGACGTACACTTGATCCAAACTCCCAGATAAACATCAAAGGTACAGTGACATATTGTGATAAAAGGCAATTACTTGACATTATTTTCAATGCTGACTACATATAAACAACTAAATTTTCATTTTTTCAGAGGTATTTAAACTAATTTATTTAGAAACTCTGGGAAACTTTCTAGTTATAGGCCAAAATACTACTTAAACACTGTTGCCACATATAGCATTTGGGAACCACAGTAACATTTAAAATAAGCAGAGGAAACAAAACGTTTCAGATTAAACCCTTCCATACCATCCCATTGTTCACTTCATGATGTTACCTTGTGACAGTTCATCCCTATAATTTTAAGAGTTAAATGTGGCTTTAGACGTAATTTTACAACAGGTTCAGTTGTACCAGAACTGGTTTAAGATGTACAATAACATGTACATATGAAACAAAAAATGAAAAAGATTAATGTCTCACCAAAAACGTGGACAACTTTTGAGTCCTGCAGCATGGAGCTCCCACAGGAAACTTGCACTGTAACTCGGACATCACCTGTCTCAGCAAACCTGGTCACCAGAAAACTCTCCAATGTGAGCAGTGGCTTTAAAAAACAAAGAAAAGTTGAAAATATAATTTGAGCAAGATCCAAAAGAGAGTGTCTGAAGAGACTGTAACTAAAAATATCAGCAAAAAGTTTTCACATCAATTTTCAATTAATCAATATTTTATCAAATTGTCCAATAAAAATTTTCAATATAGGATGTTTTGTTCCCTAAATGGATCTTTTATAAACAGAATAGCAGCCAGATGGGGCAAATATTTCTTCTAGAATGATTGGTAGAGTATTAGGGTTCCAGTCAGATCCCACTAAAATAAATGGATTTTGAGGCAGATTCAACAAAATCTACAAGATTATATGAAGCAAGTCAGCTGGCTCAAAAAAATGTGGGGTATGTCAGGGTCAAAAATATTAATGCTGTCAACTTAGAGCACCAGTCCACAGTAACCTCCAAGGCAGACCTGAGATACTCTGCTTCCTGACCACATCCATATAAATTACAAAACCATTCACAAACTACATGGACCTGCAGTGCCTGTTCTAGCAATGGTAAAGTCAATAATAATGAACAGATACAGGCTGGTTTCATGGCAGACAGTACATTTACAAGAATGCATTCACTGCACCTGTTTGAAGTATTCCTCTGCCTCATAAAGAAAATATTTTACTTCTCTGTTATTGAAAGAATTACTTTAAAAGAAATTAACCTAGCTAGACAATAAATATTGCCAATAGAAATACTGGGATATTTATTGCTCTAGGACACATTTATCTAGATCTTGATCCCCAAATGAATATCACTAGATTGTTTGAGTGCTCTCAGTGTTTTGATATCCTTTAAGATATCCCATTTTTTAATATGCCAGATTATTTTAGACTCACAGAAAATATTTATCTATACAATGAATATATATATATTTCTGTACAGCACTTTAATTTACAGTACTCACATTATCAATTTAGAAGCATATAAATCCAAGTTTCATCATTCACCAGTGCCATGATCCCAAATCCATCCCCCTCTACAAGTTGTTTTTTTTCCACAGGTAATCAAATAGAATAAATTGTTGCCCCCCCACCCAAAGAAAATAGTTTACAAATTGAAAGAAAAGAACAACCTTTATTAGAAAGAGATTGAAAATAATCTCAGTAAAAACCATTTGTGTACCTGAAGATTGTTTCCTATCCACCAGTAGAAAACTGTCAAATTAGGGTTCTTAGGCAGTATGATGGCTGTCAGGTTCACCTCCTGGTTTCTTCCAATGACTGGAACCACTTCTAAGTTTAAAGCCTGGAGTGGAGCTGAACAAAATTCCCAAAGTATGATTGAACAAGAACCCATCAATTTATTAATGCCTGTTTCCCCAAAAGCCTCTCACCTGCACATCATAAGGTCCTGAATTTATTTTTCCCTCCCTTCTGCTTTTACATCCATGTTGAAAGATATGGACATAATTGGAAGGACCTCATTTCAACAAAAAAATACCGCCCAAATCACCCCAAAATCTCAGAAACAAAATCATAAGCAATGAGATAGATCAGCCAAATGCACTTCTCTGATGCACATTTTTTTGTGTGCATTTTCAATACTAGAACACATAAGCAAATACTCCAGCTAAAAAGTGGAAAAGGCAATCTCAGCTTGATTTTTTTTTTTAGTAACAAAAGATCAAATGAATAGAAATCTAACAAATCTCAAATTGCTAAGGGAAAAGCAGAAAACTGAAAAAGAATGCTGCTGACTACACACTTTCATTATAAAAAATCAGCTGTTAGGCTCACACCACACAGCAACTCTCATTAATGCATGCTTTAAAATAGATGTGTATATCAGGGGAGCATTTATTTGCAAATCAAAATAAGATAACCTCTGTATTCCAAAATGTGCCTCAGAGTAAGTTTATTCCTTTTTGAGCTTTTGCCTATGAAGGCTGGAAACATTATTATTTGTATAAAAGAAATGCATCATTACAGTGGTTTTATCTGCTTCTAAGTGTTGTGTTTATTAGTGTTGTACTGCTTCACAGTACAGTAACTGTAATAAAAAAATCCTTTCCCTTGGAGGTTTCTGAGTATATCTTTTTCAGAACGTACAAAAGTAAAAGCTTTATAACAGAACAATGTCATAACTAGAATCTCTTAACTTCACCTGCATCATCTATCCAGGATACCAAACCATTATATGGTCCAGCATTAATTACACAGAATGAATACTAACCCACCCATTCTTGTTCCATGCTAAATATCTTATACCTCGTCAAAGGTTTTTCATCTCAGTGCAAACTCACAGGTAATTAACACTGATCTAAAGTATTTTTCTTATTCTATGTCAGGAGCTGAATCACTGTTAATTCACTTTGATTAAATTGATTGAATTTCTCTGAGAACAAGTTGTCTGATCTCCTTTTCCACCTCACTTCACCTGGTCGGTGTGCTGCTTCATCCCAATGTAAGACTACTTTCACTCTGCGTTTTCTACAATGACTTTTTATTCACCTGCATGAATTCAAGTCATGTTGGGTGCTTAAACAAATGATTTCTTCACTAGCTTCCAGAGGAGTTAAAATGTTTCTCCCTATTGCTAGTGTCTTAAAGGAAATTCAGAAATTTTAAGAATTTCATTATATCTGTTCCTCATAGAAATAGAATTTCCTTCTGATGAGGCAAAATGAAATCTGGAGGGATCTGCAAAACTGTTTTGATTTTGCCATAAATTTGTGTTTTCCCAGAGGAAACTGATCATTTTGAGATATGTTTTTGCTCCTGAAGAAGGCTACGCTTCATAACACCCTTAAATGTGTAATATGAGGACTGAAGTTGAGTTAAATGATTTCTATCTAACAAAGTTATAATTTCCATACAGTTTTTCAAGTTCCCTTACTATTCATTCACTATAAGGATCATGGTTTCATGAAAAACAAAATGTGTGCGGTGTATGTAGCAATGTATGTAGTTCTTCTTCAGGTTTTTTTATTGTGAGTTGCCTACTCACATTTATGCTATCGGACTTGATTTAATTTCTCTTACAGTTCATTAGAAAGTTGTAGATTGTGTGATCTGGATCAGAAAGCATGATTTGGATGAAATGCCAGAATTTATATAATTGTCCTGCATTCCATAGCAACAGAACTCTGAAGTGAAAAATATTCCCTTTAACATTTGCCTCTGAAAAAATTCTCTGGGAATAATACATCAGCCAGAGCTAGAGTGAAAGTAGGACTCTGTGGACAATTCTACTTTCATGGTATTCCACAGTGAAAATGTTCCTTAATGGCTATTAGTGCTTCACTAGAACGTAGAAATTGCAGTTTAATTTTTTAGGTTAATTAGAAGATTCGAGTAAATTAGTTGGCACTAATTAAACAGAGCAAATCACATAGAAAGCATTCATTCAAGAAGGCTGGGAAACACACTTCCATGAGTCTTCTAGTCTCTGTGCAGCATCCATGGACAAGCTCAGGATGAGATCACATCTGCCTCAGTGCTCTGCTGCCTCTGCAATTCAGCACCAAAATTCCTTTAATGGACCAGTCATTAACTTGTGTAAAGTAACTCTGGCTTCTGCAATTTGAAAATCCACTGCATAAAACAAAATCGGCATCCTGTATTTTTACTGTTTATCCTAATACAGGCCACACTAAAAGAGCTTTTTCAGAAAGTGTTTACTCCGCTTTCCATCAGGGCTTGCTACTGTTCGCCATCCTCTGGAGGGAGAGAAGGATGTCACACCGTGTTTTTTTCCTCTTCATTTCTTGTACAGGCTGTTCCTCAGCCTAATCTACTCCTCAGCACCTAGAAGCTTCTAAAAAGTAACAGTGAAGCCCTAAGTAATTTACCTGAGCTCTCTGGGGTTGTCAAATAATTTAAAAAATAAACACAACAAAGAAACAGATAATGAAACTGAAGTTGAGAATTTGCTTGTGATCATTTCTGTTTGATTTTAATAGAAGATTGGTCATTAGTGAATGGGCCCTAACTGTCAATCAAAGCAGAACTAGAAACTCTGGACTCAAGGACACTGACCAGCAAAATACATAAATATCAGCAGTCACCAGACAAGCTGACATAAAGCACATGGATCTGTGCACACCCTTGTCTATGGCTCCAGTGAGTTCTGTTGCTTTGGGATTAGGATGGAAGACACACCACTCACAACAGAGGGGAAACAGACACCTGGAGAATGCAAGATGAGTATATTTTCCTTTGATGTTACTTGTTCCTGAATTTTTGGCACATCTGAAAACAGGTAAAGCAATAGCTGTCTTAAATCTCGAAGAAAGAAGAAAATTCAGTTCCAGTTGTGAGTTTCTCTCTTCATTTCGGTTATGAGATGACTCACATTAAGCTGGCAATGGTGCATGATATTCCCAGTGCCATGCTATTCTTTATTTTATATCTGTTTGATTGGGTATTTTAGGTCTTAATTAAGAAGAGGGAGAGAAGTCTAAGGCAAGTAATACTGCCTGCCAACACAAAGTTATATCCAAGTAAAATTTAAAACTCTGTGAGAATTAACTAACTAAAATATAGATTTAGAAACACTGAGATTTTTACTAGTTTTCAAAATCATACAAAAGCTCATATTTTTCTCAACATATCCGTTCACTCGTTTTACACTACATCTAGAAGCTTTAAAAAGATATAGTGTTAAATTTTAGCTGCTAAGGCAGCCAACAGGGTCTTGAATCAGGAAGATGGATCAAACCTGAGATTTGAACTGAGGCATACTTGTTATTTAAAAGATTAATAAACCATCCTTCTACCAAATTGGAATAAAACTAATTCCGACATCCTATTACATTAGGTTTAAAAGCCTCTGTATTAAAAACATACAACACTGCAAAGCTGCATGAGGGTGCTGAAAAAGTATGCCTTTTCCTAATTGCGCCTGGTAATTTTCTTTACTACTTCACAGCTGCCATGAGGTTTTTACACAGCGGTAAAAGTAAGAAAAGCAAAGAGATGATTTACAGTTGACTTGGACGAACACCACAGCCTCATCGTGCCCAGCCACATTCTCAGCCTTCACTGACACACGGTAAATCCCAGGATTCTCATAGCGGTGACGGATGGGTTCTCCAGTCATCGTAAGGTTCACATATATCGCCTTAAAGCCATCTCCAAGATCTACCTGGTATTTGGTACTCAATATATCACCCTAAAAGGAAAATATATCAAAAACATCTTAAACGGCCAGAACCAAAACAGACAGGACACATGTTTATAACCCTTTACTAAATCACAGCAGCACTTTCAGCCCCTGCCAGACATTTTGACTCAATTGCAATAGCTGCAGTGAAACCACTATACCCATGGCAATGATGTTAGTGCAACAGATGCTGTGTGCGTTAGTAGAGATAATACTAAATTTCCTCAGTAAGGTGCTACCTTGGAATTAGACACCTCAGACCACTAACCAAGTTCTGTGGCACAGAAACCATCACTCTTATCTTAATGCAGCTGGACATTAACTAACTAACATGATGGTGCAGGGCAGCCCCAAGTTCTAAAGTGATGCTCATATCATTGCAAGCAACTAAAGATTGTTATTTTAGAAAATTACCACTCACCCAGTGAACTTTTAGCCTTTCCAACTATAAAATAAAATTAATTGGCTTAGACATTCTTCACAGCACCTTCTAAGCACAGTCTCTTAGTGTCAGCTACGTGGCCTTTAAGACACAAGCTGGGATCTTCACACAGAGTTGTACAGCATTATACTGAGCCACCAGCATGTCTGAAACCACCATGCTCTAGTGCAAAATTAGATGCATGTTTAATGAAGCAGATTACCAGTCTGGGTTTTTGAAAGGGTTTAAAAGTCCAGCTAAATAATTCTGTCATATCAAACATCTCATTGAATTAATAATTCCTCACACTTCTGCTAAGTGCTCCTTTAAATGTCTCTGTCTTCCTAAACTCAGGCCTAAAGGATTGCAAGGTTGATAATACCTTCAGAGGACAAACATGACCATTATTGATGTTGTTGCGATATGGCTGCTCAGGAAAGAAATCAGGCCTGTGCTACATGGACTACAGACTTGGATGCAATCAAAGGAAAATTAATTTTAGCTGTTAGGAGTAATACTTTCTCAATACTACTGGCAGCACTGCCTTGGTGAGCTGTCCTGCTTCCTTGATCCCCAGCAGTATATATGTTCCTGCTTGCTTGCCATAGTACACAGCCATCACAGCCATGCAATTAAGACAGGCTACAAGGCCAGGCTTCATAGAAAAGCCTCTGTGTTGTGAAAACACGGTATTGATTTAAAAAATTTCATTGCCTCTGGGAAAGAAATGTATACACCCGTGTGCTGGTCAAGTGACATGAAAGGCCATCAGAGCAGTGAAGGATTGACACCAACTGAAGAATTCAAAAATCACCTCACTTCTCCAAAAGCCACTCTCTGAAATAGGTTTATTCCAAAATTTAATCTCAAAAGGAAGCACTAATGTAATTTTTTTCAAAATGACAACAATCAGACATTGGAATAATCTCCCCAGGAACCTGGTGGATCCCCCCACAGTTGGACAATTTTAAGATTCAGCAGCACAGGTACGGGCCATCTTGTCTAGGTTGTGCTTTTGCCAAGACAGGTTGGACCAGATGATCACTGAGGTCCCTTCCAACCTGGCAGTCTATGATTCTACCATTCTTTGAAAATCAAAGGAGTTACCATGCCTAGAACTTATGTTCCCTGGCACTACAGAAGGAAGGGAAACATACTATTATTTCCTCCTTCTCTTATTTGGCAGTGTGGTTGATTTTCTTCCATGTTTTACCAGATGAAAGAACATCATTGCTTACAATGTAAAAGAATATCCATAATAAGGAATCTGTAGGATTATCAAATACCTAAGCACCATATTTCAAGACACATAAAGGACCTTAAAAGCCTCTTCACTGTGAAGAGTATTTTCTTTCTTTTGACAACAGAATAGTAGAATTTAGCAAAAGAGATAATATGTTATTACAGTTTAAAGCGGAAGAGATACGTTCTTGCCAGCAGTGTAAGTGGAATCTCTTTAAATGACATTAGCTTGCAAAGAGTTCTTGTTCCCTCTTTCTTATGCTAACAAGTACACATGCGTATTTTTCCAGGTGAGACAGAAAACAGTGTTGAAAGCCAACAGACACAAGCTTCTCTTACTGTATTATTCTAAATAGCTTCCCGAGTGTAAAGATGAGAGTGCTGTGTTCAAAACAACAAGGCACTTCTGTTTCCCAGACCAATGAACAAAGACAGCAGTGGACAGAAAACAAGAGTCACATAAATCAGCTATATCTTTAAGAAGTTGGGGCTTCCATGAAAAATAGGAGATGGTCATGACATTATTTATTCATATAGTCAGCCAACGGAATATGGAAAAAAATTACCATCATCATCGTTACTGTTATTATTTCTAAGGACACTTGAAAACTGCCCAAGCATACCAGAAGCATGCTTTCTTTACTTCCTGAAATCTGGCATTCCTGCATTCCCAGAAACTAGTAAATTAAGTTTGTTCACTAGAAAAAGTGGTATGTTTTGGTTTATTGTAGTAGAGCTGTTTCCTAAACTCAGTAATTGTTATGAATTCTCATTGGATTTTGTCACACAGGTTAAATCCTAAGCAACACTCAGGACATTTGAGTTTAAATATTATTCTTAGCCATAGAGGGCACCAAACTGCTACATTTCTTCTAAATCTGCCTTCCTCTTTGATGTACAGAGCAAAGACTTCTTTAGAAAACACAGCATGAGATTCTCTTCAAGATCCCTCCCTTCTGAAGATTTTTGAGTAATTTTAAATGGTTTTCATATTGCTACAGAGATTCATGAAAGCTTCAGTAGGAAAAAAGTCAAACTGCCAATCAAAATCATTTGAGTCCAAATTGCAACCAAATGCCCTGGGCTTACAATAAACATTTCCAAACAAATTCTAGAAAGAGAAGGCAGCAGAACTTGCCACACAAACTGCTGGGGCACAGCACGCATTGGGATGCAGAGCCTGAGAAGCATTAAGCAGCCCAGTGTTCTGCTTGTAACTTTCTTGATTCCATTACAGAAATAAATCCCAAGTGCTCAATTTATATCGCACAGGTTTGCCAAAATGTGTGAATTTTCTTCAAGTTCTTGTAAATCCGTGGGGTTAGCCAGGATGCACAAATACTCTGGTAACCTGAGCACAGCAGTGATAGCCTAATGCTAAAAAACAAGCATGAGCAAAAAATTCATCCAAAAGTTACTCACTGCTGTTGGTCAGGGCCCTAGGGCATTGTCTCTCTCAATAAACAGAAAACTCCCCCATATCTTTGGCAACACAATTAATATATAATAAATATTCTTATGCTGTGCTATTTGCTGATTTCTGTAAAGCTTTGCCTCGTTCCTGTCTGAAAGGTAGATTCTCAAAAACACTTAAACCAGAATATTAAATGTTCTCTGCATTTCTGTGCTTCTCTGATACAGCAGCTGAGATTTTCAGTCCAAGAAGGCTTTGGTAATCCAGTTGCTTTGATTTTCCAAGAAGCTATTGCCTTTGCTGCTGAGGAGACAAATCCCGTTCTGTGGGCAGAACTTGGAGATTCACTGAGTTTACTGTCTTGTCTGATTCACTTGAAAACAGAAGTTTCAATATTTAGAAAGCCATTAATCTTTGTCTCAAGCACAAATTAATCTTCATTTAGCAGCAAAGCAGGTAGGAGTGAAATTAACCCTAAAAGCAGCAATTAAACTTTCATGGAGCCAATGTTTATTACTACCTGCTCTTGTCTGACAATGAAGGTGATGTCTTCCCCAGGCCTAACAGCCAGGCTTTCTTCTCTGATGCTGATCTGAAGTCCCCTGGGAGCAATCAATGGACACATATGCTGTGCTACATTCTGCTGCAGGTCTACTCCACCTTCACACACATTAGAAACAACTTTCCTGTACCTGCAAAAACAGTAAGCAGTGAACACAGTGAACTGGAGGTAAGCGAGAGAATGCCATCAGAGACACCAAACGCAAGTGTGATTGTGGCTAATGCATTTTCCTTAGGTACACAAACAGAAAAGATTGCAGATGATCAAAAGCAACTCACAGTGCAAGTAGTTGGATTGGGGACATTGCCTTTACTAAGGAAAACCCATTGAAGAAGGGTGGTGTGAGCATGATGAGGATTTCACTTGAATGCATTAGATCAGTATGTCTTTTCAAACTTAGAAATGTGCCTGACTAGCCCTCCAGGAGATAGTCTTCTGTTCTCCTTGCCATCCCCTTTCCTAGCATTCAACAGTCTTCAGTGCTCTAGAGGTCTTGGTTCAAACCCCAAAGATCAGGAAGAAATAAGACCAAGCAGCTTCTGCTTTAACCCATAACTAATTGCTTAACTGCTGCTCTAAAATCAACTAATTTCTTAAAAGACTTGCATCATTTGTGTAACATAACAGCATAAAAGATTGAAAGGAGTAACACTTTTAAAGAGCTAATAATGAAATACTTGGGTCTGTACAGTAATTATTTACAGATCAGTTTCATACAGGTATGCAATTTTTAAACGTCCTTTACAATCAGAGTCATGTATCACTCCTCTGAATTCCCACTCAGTATATCACAGCTGTCAGCCACAAGCCAAAAGGCATCATTTTCCTCAGTAAGGCAAATATACACAGTGTCTCTGATTCTATTGCCAGATTGGACATTTCATCATTTGGTTCTCATCTCTACAACTGACTGAGATGGTGTTATGATAAGACAGAATAGATGCCAGCTGCAAGTTATTCTCAGCACAGACGTCAGACTACATTGTGGCGTATATTCTGTGTGGTATTGTTTACAGTTACTAAAGCTTTCCTTTGATTCTGAGTGTCCCATATGGTCAGGAAAAGAACTTATTCTTCACAGAACTCCTTACCCTTATAAAAGTGAGAAATCAGGAAATTCTGTGAGATGTTAAGTAATTTATTAGATCCAAACTGAAAATTGCTCTGGACCTAAGCAATGAGCATTTGAATGGACACTCCATAGTCAGAAGTGTAAAAATGGCTACAGAATGTTACCAAAAAAAAAAAAAATTAATATGCTGCAAAGAAGACAGCTTCCCCTCTTCTTGAACAGATTAGTTTTTGAACCACTGGGAATATACAAAGTAACAATTCTCTTTCCTTTATCTGTAGGAAGCTTTTGCACATGCTCTAAGTCAGTCACAGCTTTTGCATTTCCCAGTTTTTACTGTTTGCCTTATTTACATTTCATAGAATCACAAACTGGTTTGGGTTGGAAGGGGCCTTCAAGATCTTCTAGTTCCAACTCTCCAGCCAGAGCAAGGAAGATATTCCACTAAACTAAGTTGCTCAAAGCCCCATCCAACCAGGAATTCAACACTTCCAGGGAACAACTGCACAAGTTATTCAGTGTCTCACCACCCTCCTGGTAAAGAATTTCTTCCTAATATCTAATCTCAACCTATCCTGCTTCATCTGTAGGCCATTCCCCCTTGACCTATCACTACGTGCTCTTGTAAAAAGTCCCTCTCTTGCTGTCTTGTGGGCTCCCCTTAGGTGTTGAAATGTGAATTAATTTCAAACCACTTTGAGGCTCACTTTGAAGCCTGATCAAGCCAGCTGAATGCAAAACCAGCTTACCCAGTGCTGCTGGTGTATGCCTGCCCCAGCACACAGTCTTCAGGAGGTGCTTCTGGGTTAAACCAAAAGTCAGCAAAGCATTTGTTAGACTCCGACTTCAGAAGTGCAGAGCGCTCAAACCCATAATCACTGAAAAACAGCAACAACAAGTGTGTTACTATCCCCGCTTCACTCAGCAGTCTAATTTGGGGTGGACGAGAACACATTTTTAAGAGTAAGTAATTTTTTTTTAGTGTTATTCTACCAGATGAACATACAAATTCATGAAGTCAGTTCTGTTTTAAGTTCAATGGGAGTTGTGTACACTTGGGGGAAAAACTGGTTGTAATTACTTTGTCAGTTCTGCAAAATTAACTCCCTTGGTACCTTAGATTTTCTAAAGGTTTCCTTTGCCACTCAGACCAAACATTTCCTTGCTTTTTTTTTTTTTTTCATTTGCAAATAGAAAGGGTTTGCTTGCCTTTTAAATGAAGTCAATGGTCATTTTTCAAGCCTTGATCAATAGCGAAAAACATCCAGATTTGTTCAGTCAGGTGAAACGAATACTTGAACATTGCAATATTTTTAAACAAGTGCAAAAGAAACTTGTTATTAAAAAAACAGTTTGCCTATTTATTTATATATGGCTATGTGGGAAGAGGAGAAAAAGGAGTAAAATAAACCCATCTCAAATGCTAAGTAACAATTTACTAGCAACAAATCAAAAGGTACACAGACAGACTCACCATAAGAAATCAGAGTTCACACATTCACAAACTTTGGATGTGAGAGCTGATGTGAAACTTCTCCCTTTAATGCACCATGATGAAATCTTCCTCTTTCGAAAGCTCCTCTGCTGGCCCATGATGCAACGATCACCCTGGATATCAAAGCACTGGACTTACTGCACCGTAACCTACACCACACGGATGTGACCTTATGTTGTCCTGAGAAAGGCCGATCTTCCCGCCAAAAACTCTCTCATGTTCAAAAATATAGGTATAGATAGCTCTCATATTCACTGCTGTCTGCTAACAGGTCATAACAAAGTTGTACCATAGGCTGTATTTCCAGGGCAAAAATCCAAAGATGTACATGAAAATTCAAGTGCAATCTAACCCATCTTTCATGTGTGCACAATCTAGGCAAAAGCTCTAACTGGCCATTTAAATATTCATTGTGGCTGCACAAAGCTGAAGTTCTCTCTAAATCACCATGTTTCACGTTGGCAGTCAACCTGGAGTACCAAGCATGTGGACAAAGGTAGAATGAAGGCTATCTTTACACACTCCACTGGTAGTTGGGCAGCTGCAAGTACTCTGTCAAAGTCATTTTAGTAGTTTCTAATTTCTGAAAGACATTTCAATGCCAATATCCCAAAATACTGTTACTCTTTAGGCTCAGATCTGCATAACATTCTTAGTAAACACACAGCAGTCCCAAACGAGAAGTGTAAAATTAGGCACGAGAACTAGCAAATGGGAGCTGTAGAGCTGGAGTAACACACAGAGTCATATGCAAAAAATAAACTAACCCTGCAGAGAGCAAAAGAACAAATGTACTGGAAGAAGCAAAATGTAAGAATCAGAATGATTATGAATAAATATGACATATTCCATTTAATTAAAAAAAACCCCTCAGATTTGTCTCTTCAATCACTACACTGTAGATAGAATTTAGCTTCCCAAAATTGGATTTGGCCAGAGCACCAGGATTAGCACAGCCTTAATGCACTACTGCAGAAATGGTATTGCCCAAAACAACTGGACTCCGTTACATGATTGGTCCACTGAGATCCTAAATTACTTCTGGAATGGACTTTACTTATGGCAATTATATATGAGTACAGTATGTGGTCAGGAAGTTGGCAGAACACATGACTGCATGTTGAAATTGTTTCAATCAATATTGCACACTTCAGTTTATGGTATATGCTTCCCAATCTAGCAGGACCACCTATTATTATGGCAACCCACCAGATATACTTCCACCTTTCCTAGGAAACAGATCACACAACCAAAATGAACACAAAATCCTCTCCCATTTTAAACTATTGCGAAATCAGCAAATATCAACATAAGGAGACTAAGCTGGGGATGTGGCATCCAAATTCAACTTGGAAACGTTTTCCTAGCACACAGTTCTATATGAATCTGAAAGCTATGGAAAAGTTTTGTCAGTTAACATAAGACCATGAATACCTGCAGATTTGTGAGCTCCCAAGACTCATAGTCATCCTCAGTGCACTCCCTGGGGAAGGATGGTCTGAAGTCGACCTTCACCAGTTCCCAGTCCGAACGGTAGCTAATATGTCCAAAGACTCTGAACAAAAAGATCAAAAGTAAACTCTTACTGCAAAGAAATACCATACATCTGAGATTCAAAACTGAAGTCCTATCTTTTCTTTTCCACAGTCACAGTTCTTTGCTAAAAGGTACCAGCTTAATTTTTCTTCTGCTTTTATTCCTCTTTATGTATAAGGAGTTTAGTTAGGAAACATTTGCCAATTGCATATGAAACTTTACAATGAAAAAATATATCTCATATAGTAGATTTTTTTTTTCCCTAGCAAACTATCCAGAAATTTAATTGGAAATAACCTTTTCTAATTTGGAACACAACATTTTTCTCTACTATCTTGCTATATGAAACAGACAGCTCTCACATTTCAACAGGAAGCAGAATCAGGACCACCAGATTCAGTTTCCAGTTCTGTCATTCATTCCTTGAGATTACAGTACAACTTCTTCAGTTGGTTTTGTTGTGGGGTTTTTTGTTAATTTCTTCAGTTTTTAAATAGCAATTGGCTATTGTTTAAACTCACATTAGTATAATGAAATTGTATCAATTTCTAAGGAATACACTTCATCTACACATTGTACTGAAGAACTCAGTTTCCTATTCAAGTCAGATAGTCTCTTGCATAGCAAAACCCAGCCATAAACTGTACAGTTTTTGTACGGGGGAAAAAAAAAAAAAAAAAAAAAAAAAAAAAAAAAAAAAAAAAAAAAAAAAAAAAAAAAAAAAAAAAAAAAAAAAAAAAAAAAAAAAAAAAAAAAAAAAAAAAAAAAAAAAAAAAAAAAAAAACACCAACCAACAACTGATTGCTTTAAAAACCAAGCTGCATTTTCAAAGCAGCCAACATTTTCTAGATCAGAATCTTTATTTCCAAAACAAAATGGGTATGTATGACATCCAGCAACAAATTAGAAAGGATAAAGACTCCATTTGGGCAAAAGTAAAATGTATTTGTGGTTTGTATCAAGCTTATGTGACTTACTTGCCAAAGAATTTAAGGTTGATTCTGAAGCCAACAATTTCTATGCAGTTCATACTGCACAGAGTTCATATTCCAAGCTTTAGCAGCATTCTCCAAACTAATTCATTCCTTTTGTTTTGCCCTCAGTTTTGTCCAAATCCAGACACAGCAGGAATGGTACAGTTTTGTTAAAGCATTCTGCTGCGCACAGACATTTCTCTTGTCCTGAATACCAGGTTCAAAGTGGAACTAGGGTAGACCAGAAGTGAGTGAATGGTCAATTCTCTGCAGCACAGAGGCAACATCATCACACTGAGCATTTGTCCTGGTAAATAGACGTAGAGCTCTGAAGTCTACCGATAAGGCTGAAAAGTAGTTCACAGAGACTAAAGATGTACAGTGATTTCTCCCCTTCCTTTCTGGTGTCTTTGCTTCTCATCCTTAGCAGAGAGATGTAGATATTAATACATTATTGCCCACTGCTCACATAGTAACAACCTAACGACCTCCTGTGCGAGCCACACGCATATGAAACCACACCATCAGCAGTGCACTTAATTAAACAGAAACATATGCATGTAGTTTGTGTGTCTTACTCTTTTCTTGTAAGGCTCTGAGATTAAAGGAATGGATCGTCTAATTTCTTTCCTTCTAAATGCACCCATGGCTCAGAAGTAGAAGCAACACACAAAAATTAAAAAATGTGGCTCAGTCCACTGATTGTATGTGCACATAGGTGTGTGGTCCCACTTCTCTCATTGAGACCTAAGGATTTGGTTCCTTTTTCTGGTTCAGCTGGATCCTGAGAGCTGCTGTCACCATATAATCTTATTCATTGGTAGTTATATACTCAATAAAGTGACTACTTAGGTGGTCTCATGCTTTTTCCACAATGCCTGTTTCAATATGACTGGGTTTGCTGACAGACATGAAGTGCCTTTTGCATGCTAAATACCTGTAACTCTTTTTAAAATCTTTGTTTCTCCATACAAGGTACTACCACAAGGCAGATTTCACCATGTGCTTATGCAACACCTACCTACCTCAGTACTAGGTGCAATACCTACCTCAGTGAATGCTTCTCTAGATACCACAAAACTTTACAAATTTATTGCATTTCTTTTATTAACCCATTTATCAACTAATACGTTCAAGTGCAAGGAGCCAAGTCCTGTTAAAGCTTCACTCCTGCCTCAAGGGAAGTAGAAATGAAATTATCTTCATTCATGTTAGCTATCTCAGACAGATTAGTAAGGAAGGAGGAGAAAGGAGATGGTGGTTTAAGTTCAAGGCAGAATAGAATAATGAAATTCTCCTGAAAGCATAAAACAATCTCTGAACTATTATTAACTATATCTGAAATGTCATGAGGGTGATTTCAAATGACTATGGCAAGGGAAACATGTTGACCCTATGTATAAATACAGACACATGCACACACACACACACACGTGTGTGTGTATGTGTATATATAAACATAGATATGAAACAAAAAAATGAAGATCAGAGAGTTACAGCATTAATTTTGATATCCACAAAGATATCAAACAAATTATTGAGCTATCTGCTTCTAAGCACCTTAGAGATAATTAAAATGATAACAAACAGCTACCATGGATTTGTCAAAACCAAATCATGTCAAACTAATGTAATTTCCTCCTTTTACAGGGTAACTGGCTTAGCAGATAAAGGAAAGGAGACAATCTAGCATATTCTGACCTTTGTTAAAACTGTTATACATTTCTAGCTGACATTGTCTCAATGTAGAAAAGAAAACATCAGTGCAGATAAAATCACTGTGATGAGGAATGGGAGTGCATATCCAATTAGAAGAATCCATTTTCAAAAGGTAGTTATCAAACAGGGAATATTTTGAGATATGTATCACAAAGATATGATGGGCCTTCAGTCAGTATTTTCATTAACACTTATGATCAAATAAGAAACACAAAAAACTTTGCAGATAATACAGAAGGAAGGGAATGGACATTGACTGATGGAAGCAATATTCAGAAATCAATATGATGAAATACTCCAAAACCAAATGCAAAAAGTACTTCTGGGAAAAAAAAACAAAAAACAAACTCACACCAAAGGTGCAAAACCAAGATGGAAAATAACTTTCAAATATTGAATAAAAGACTTAGGAAATTCTGGGAAATTAAACTAAAAATGCATTGTTGATGTAAAATAAGAAAGACAAATTCTAGGTCGTATTCAGAACTAGAAAACAGAAGACATGGAGGTAATTATTTTTATAAACTTGGCAAAAGTGGAGCCTCTGGAAGAATATCATGTCTAACTTCAGATATTTTATGCGTATTCACATACCCCATAAAAATTAATTTGAAGAGGGGCAAAATGACTCATAACTGCTTAGAAAATATAACCAATGAAGAAAGATTGCAGGAACTGGGTTTTTCTCTGGAAAAGATAAAGCTGAGAAGTACAACAAAATGCTTTCACGTTCTCGTTATAGAGTGAAAAGCTGTCTTCAAAGAGACCTGGAGTAAGGGCAAGAAAGAGGAAGTACAAGGATAAATAAACTTAAAACATACAGCTGCACAATTCTCTAATTCCTTCTCCTCAGTACTGGTGAGGCTACATGTGAGTACTGGGTCCAGTTCTGTGCTCCCCAGAACAAGAGAGAGATGGAAAGACTGGAGGGAGTCCAACAAAAAGCTGTGAAGGCGATGAAGGGGCTGGAGCATCTCTCCTATGAGGAGAGGTTGAGAGAAGTGGGACTGTTCAGCCTGAAGAAGAGAAGGCTCAGGGACATCTACCAAAACTTGAAAGGAGGGTGCAAAGACAACAGAGCAAGATTCTCTTCAGTGGTGCCCAGTGATGGGACCAGAGGCAGCAGCCTCAAAACTGCAACACAGGAGGTTTTCTCTGAACAGCAGGAAACAACATTTTTACTGTGAGGGTGATCAAGCACTGGTACAGGCGCCCACAGAGGTTGTGGAGTCTCCATCCTTGGAGATATTTAAAACTCATCTGGAAACAGTTCTGTGTAATTGGCTCTGAGTGAGCAAAGGGGTTGGACCAGAAGACCTCCTGAGGTCCCTTCCAACCTCAAAAATTTTATGATTCTAGAATTCTGTAGAGGTAATGGTGTAAGATATTGGAGTTATTAATGGTGTAAGATATTGGAGTTATTAATGGTGTAAGATATTGGAGTTATTCCTGCTCACCAGAGTGAGAATTCAGATGCCATCAGGATTAGAGATAGACATTAGATAAATTGGACAAATATTGCCCAGTTCCATATCCTACAATGATAGAAAACGTATAAAAATTATTCTAGAAATTATGCAAAATTTACCAGAGTAATATGGAAGCTACATACAAACTATATGTGCATACAGCAAAGGCACAGCTTCAAGGGACGAACTGTAACCTTCTCTGTGGATTTTTAGCAGAAGATAGAAATAACTTTTACTACATGTTGGTCCAGCCTCTTGCAAAAAAACCCCAAACTAACAAAAAATGTCATTTCCATTATGGCTGTTTTGATTCTACAAACTAAAAACCAAGTTTTGACAGAGTACAGTAACTGCACCACTGCAAGCAAAATCCCATAGATTCAAGAGAGTGTCCCACTACAGTCATAAACCCCCAAAAAAACACAGTCATACCACTTCGTAATTCATAGGGTAAATTTCCTAAGGAATCCAGCGCTTTACATGCATCCAGTTTAGCAAACTGTTTGAAAAAAAAGCTTAATGATTATTAATGCTGTACTGCAGTAGCACATGTTGCTCTATAGTTGACAGAGCTTTGCAGACACATCGGATGAGTGCATTTAAATGTATTGCCAAATATCACTAGAATAAAGAAAGAAGCATTTTTTCAAAGTAACAAAGGCATGCATTAAGTAGGATTCGATGGACTAGACAAAAATATGAACTACAATAAAGCAATACATAACAGCAATCACAATCTAATTGCTCAGGTGCAAAATATATATGTTGAATAAAATCATATGAATGGAAAAAACTGGAACGGTTCAGCAAGTGTAACTGATGACTAGAAGTTATATATCAAGATCATAGTAATTCAT